GCAGGCGGATGCTAGCGCGCAGGCTCAGCCGCCGACGATCGGCGTCGTGGATCTGGTGCGCTCACAGCGCGGCGAAGGATTCTACGCCTCGCTGCCGCCCGAGACGCACAGCATGTTTGCGGATCAACCGGGTGGCCAGGTGAGCTGGTACGCGGCTGCGCCGTTAGACCTGCCGTTGCAGAACGACCTGCACAAGAACGGATTCTACGCACCGCAGCAGGCACACCTGCGACATCACACGCTCGACTACCTCTACCACCAGGCGGGCACGCGCGTCGAGACGGATGCCGAGGCGCAGGCGCGCAACGGCGGTCGCGGCGCCATGGCGCAGCCGCTGCAGCCGAGCGCTTCGGCCAACGGCAGTGCGACGCCGCGCGCCATGGTGGCCGGCTCGTCGCCGTATGTGGCGCACGCCTCGGGCATGTACGACTTTCTGGCTCCCAGCGCACGCAACTCGCCCATGATGCGGCCTGGCTTCCCCGGCACCGTCGGACTGGCCAGCAGCGCCACGGTGGGTGCGGGAGGGAACATGCCGGCGGCGAGCAGCAACGGCAGCACCGACGAGGCACTCACGCCAGTCATGAGCCAGAACACCGGCTGGTACGGCGCCAACGAGTGGGGCGAAGACCCGCAGAAGACCGCAGAGGCGCTCGCCGAGTTCTCGAGCCAGTACGGCTCCGATGCGGGCCAGCTCAACTTTTCGCAGTATCTTTCGTAGCCGCACTGGATCCTGAACATAGCTCACATCCTACCCCGTGCCATGGAGGACATGCTCACCGAACTTCCCTTGCACATATCCTTCGCACTTCCTGCATCGGTAATTGTAGCTCTTCTTGTATTTGTTTCTTCTCTCGATGTTGGCATTGCTGCGAAGTGTGTCGGATGCGTGAATGGCGAGTCGGCGACGGTCGTTTGCGGCTGGTCGGGGGCGAGCGGAGCGGGGTTGAGAAGGACAACGTCGGGTGTGCTTACGTAATATTGTAGTGGTGCGGGTCTTGCTGAGCATTTTGCACCCGATCACCGCACGTCCCCTCTGCGACAGATGCGGGGCTGAGGTCGAAGAAAAGAAAGCCGCAACCCAAGGCGTGCCCGCACATCGACGAGGCTCCTCCATCTCCACCATCCATCTCCACGCTCCTACCTCTTCCTCCTCCCGTTCCCACATCGGTTCTGTTCACAGCATCTGGCCCCACTCGACCGGTTTCGCAACGCGCACACACTTGACACATTCTGCACACTTTCAGCTATCCCAGCCCCCTCGCACTCGAACACCCGTTTCTGTTCCTCTCTCACAAAAGAACTTCGCTCTCGGCTTTTCGAATCGGCAAGCATGGCGACGGCAGAGTACATTGGGGCGCTGATCTCGCTCATCAGCAAGTCGGACATCCGGTACCAGGGGTTGCTGGCGTCGATCAATCCGGAGCAGGCGACGATCGCGCTGGAAAAGGTGCGCTCGTGGGGCACCGAGGGGCGCGTGGCGGCGCAGGGGCGTGCGCAGGAAGAGATCCCGCCCAGCGACCACGTGTACGAATACATCATGTTCCGCGCAGCAGACGTCAAGGACCTCAAGATCGACGACGCCAACCCACCCAAGCCGCCAGCACCGGCACAGCCGGCACTCAACGACCCCGCCATCCTCAACGTAAGTTCATGCCCAGCAGCTGCGAGCTTACCTGCCGAAACAACCTCGACGTGATGAACCATTTACGGATGTAAAGCTGTCGTTCGCGACACGTCATTGTCCGAGAGCGCAAAACCGTGTGGATGTCTCCGTTGCCTTCCTACTGATCCCGAGGTGGTTCCGGCGTGGAAAGCTCGCATGCATGGCGCTGCAGGTCGAAAGGAGAAAGATGACTGACGCGCTGGGCTTTTGCTTTGATTTAGTCTTCGGCGCCGCAGTCGGGACCAGGCTACGGTGCGCCCGCAGGCATGTACGGAGGCATGATGCCAGCTGCGCCGTACGGAGCTGGTGCTCCTGCACAGCGATCGCCACAGCCACCGCAAACTGTCGCTCCGCCAGCAGCCTCGTCGTCCGCATCCGCATCCGCATCGCAGCCGGCGTCTGGCGCGGGCAAGGCGGCACGCGCTTCTCCCGCAGCCGAAGCAGCACCCAAGTCGAGCGCCGACGCGGTGCTGGAGGAAATGTCGAAGCTGAGCGTGTCGAAGCCCGCAGCATCGTCGTCTCCGTCGTCGCTACCGGCTGCGCACGGCTTGCCTGCGATCCCACGCGCGGCGGCGGCAGCGGCTGCAGCAGCGGCGCAATCGGAGCGTCGCAACGGCGGCGGCGCGGGTGCATCGCGTGGCGCGCAGCGCGAGCGCGTGGGCGGACCGAGCATGCCCAACCGCGAGTTCGACTTTGAGTCGGCCAATGCCAAGTTCCAGAAGCACGGCGCCGAGGGCGGGGACGAGGCGGCGGGCGGACTGCTGGATGCCATCCCCGCGCCCGCGTCGGACTCGGAGACGTTCTACGACAAGTCGGGCTTCTTTGACAACATCTCGTCCGAGATCAAGGAGCGCTATGAGCGCAACCCGGCCAACGGCGGTGGTGCGGGTGAGGGTGGAGAGGCAGCGTCGTTCTTCGATGCGCCCGCGGGACGCGGTGGACGCGGTCGGGGCGCGGGACGCGGAAGGGGGAGGGCGAATAGGATGGCCGAGGAGATGAAAAACATGCAGACGTTCGGCGACACGGGCGCGTCGTTTGGCGGCAGCGGCGGCCGTGGGCGAGGCCGTGGACGCGCAAGGGGCCGAGGCAGGGGCCGTGCCAACGACGGCTCCAACACAGCGCCCATGCGCATGGGATGATACCTCTGCTTCTCACCAGCGCTGCTCATTCGCACCCACGCCGTTGATTCTACAATGCATACCTTTTTTTTCACGTACAAGACAAGCTTTACCAACACAGTGCGTATTGGATACAGTGTGGTTGCATGTACAGTGCCCTAATGAGCCAAGCTGATTTGGGGGGGGGGGGGGGGGGGG